GAACCATTAGCTTCCTCTGGAAGTGTAACTTTAGCTGCTTACCCCACAGGGAGCAGGGAGAGAGTCACCATCAGTATGAAATGGCACAAACACTTGGCCTGGATGTGCGTGCAATACCCCGGCAGCAAAGGCTCTGGTAGGTTTGTAAAGGAAAGAGTGTATTGCAGAGTGCAGTTGTGAATGTAACCCTTTCTGAGCTGAATGCTTTGAAAACCCAACACTTTGAAAACCAATAAATGAGACAAATACTAGCACAAAACCATGTAAAATTTTGGAACAGTTTGACATTGCGTTAGTTCTGGGTTTCTGCACGTTTGTCTTCAGCATTTTAGCAAATAAAACTTCTGCTGCCATGAATGAGTTTTGCCCAAGGAAGGCTCAAAAACTTCATCGTAAATACATCCTTATCTCTATTTGCTTAAACTTAGTCAATGCATGCAAGATATATGATTCCTGCAGGCTTTTAGGGCAGCAATTACCAGATCAGAAGAAAGATAAAATCTTGCATAATTGTACAAATCAGTGTAGCTTTATGAGGAGACTCATGTCTGTATTTATTGCTTTGGTCTCAGTATTCAGTAACTGAACTATTACAGAGATAAATTTGGTTTTCTAGACTATGTGTGCAAAATAAAATCCAGCAATAAGAATCTCAATAGAATCAGCTTCACATTCAAGCATTTACAAAAGCCCAGCCAATACTCCCATCCCGTAATTCATGTCCCACAATAAGGTGGTTGTGTTTTTCCTTAACACTGTTCATTTTTTTCCTGTGCTCCTGTAAGAACAAGTGACTGACAAGGGCTGACTCCTATAGAGAAAACTGGCATGCCAACTTTATTCACATTTCTAAAAAATAATATCCTGCTTCAACTAGCTCTTGAGAAGGATTTTGTTTCTAGATCTACTGAATGAACACAGGTCTCACTGAGTTCAAAGCATGGTAATCTTCAGTATGAGATGATTTAACAGAGGAAAAAAGTAGAAAATATAAAACCAGGAGCTTAGCCTTAGTCTTAGCAAAGTAGCAGTCATAAATCCACACCCACAGTATAAAAATACATTATACACATAAATTATTTGGTTTATATTAACCTGGGGGACTCCAACATTAAAACCTTAGCTCACTGCAGTTAAATTTCCTAGGAGGGGACCAGTAAGTCCTTGAACAAGAACTTCCCTGTCCAAAACCAATTTGCAACTGGCTGCCGTTATGAAAAGACAACATGGGAGTTTCTTTGAGTGGAAGAGAAGATTACAGCAGCTGGACTTCAGTCTCAATTTTGGCCTTTCCTAAGAAGATCAGGCTTTGTAACAGTCCAAAACTCTGAGCAATATTTGCTCACTGTGCTATGATGAGTAGGCCAGACTGTACTACTGCTTACACAGACGCCTTAGGAAAGCTCTTTGATTTTGGTAATTTAAAAAGAAAAACCACCACTCACCACCACCATCATTTGGCTGCTTTTTGTGATTCATGCAGTTTAAGTTGCTCATTCTAGAAAGTAAATACCATAATGTGGATAAGGAGGAGAGTTATCTCTGGGTTTTATGTCACCTTATACTTGAGATAAATTTACTCAGATGAGTTCAGACCTTCACCGTTAAATGTTTGCATGTATCTATATATGACCAAAATCCTGGTGAAGTACGTAAACCTGATCAAGTGTTAGAGATGGATGTTTTTCTTGCTTTTTTTAATTGTGGTTCATTAGACCAGTGCAGTTCACTTGAACCTAGTGAGACAAAAATGTACAATTAAAATCAGAACCTGGCTTTTGTTAGTTTAGTTTTGTTTGGTTTTTTTGTTTTGTTTTGTTTTGTTTTGTTTTGTTTTGTTTTTTTTAACTGTAATGAACCTCTAGTTCTATCATGTCATCTTATGGTACCAGCTGAAAGCATATTCTTATCCATATTAATTAAGTGGCCTACATAATCCCTTAGTGTAGGGACTACTTAGTGACAATGAAAGACAAAAACCACAGACAAAATCCTGGAGAGTGAGTGCAGCCTTTCTGGAAACATACTGAACATGTGCAGTGGCCAGAAAATGTTGTATCTTCAGGATAAATAGAACTTCAAACAACCAGCTTGTATAAATGCTTTTATTTTTAAGTCATTTCATGGAAAATTATAGTCATTTTGGCCAAGAACATTTCTCTCAACACAAAGAAAACACTTACAGAAAAGGAGAAAATGCAGTCCAGAGATTAACTGAGGGTTTAAACTCTTTGGGCATGGAAAACAGGACAAGAAGACTAAAATACAAGTAATGATTTTGCATAAATATTTAGCATAAAAGTCCAGACAACTCCTTAGCAGCTGTATCATCCGACTTTTTATCTGTGAGTGTCAAACAAGCTAAATAATGGAAAAAATATTCATTAGGTAATTTTCTAAAAAAGCTGTGGTGTAACTCATTGGGGGACTTATTTAATTGATATTTCTGGTCTGGCTATCCATATCATTGACATTGGCATGTTACTGCTGGGAGAAACAAATTACATCAGGACAAGTTGTTTCTCATGTGTACTGAATTCTTCAACATAGGCTACAGCATGGCCTTTCTCATGGCTTGCATTATTTTTTATTGGGACAATTTATAAGATATGGTGGACTTTGATGGTGCCTCTTACAGTGGAAGCAACTGTTACCTGATGGGATCCAAATCTCATCCCAAATTTTCTAGTGACACTGCAATATTTGGTATTTCCTTAAAGCTCTGCACTCTAAAGATAAATAAATACACCACCATACTACCATTCTTAACCATTCTTGCTCTTCAATGACCTTCAAAAGGTAAGCTCCAGATACTCAAAAGCCAGAAAACAACAAAATGTGCTTCATGATTTTTTAATTTCATTATTTCATTCTGTGGTTTTGAAGCAATTTCACAAGGAGATTGGGTTCCGCTTGTTGAAAGCAGCATTACCAATCCTATGTGAACACGGCATACATCATCCTGAGAAGAAATAGATGGTTTTGCCTTGGGTCTATTTTGGAGGGACAGGAAATGGTGCAGGGTGAAGTGTCCATTTGTGAGTGCATCTGATCCTGATGGACTTTTTAATGGAGCATGGAGTTCTTCAAACAGTGGAGATGACTCTCTTTAGAGGGAATATAAAGATGCACATTAGTGGCAGGGAGAGAATAGAAACAGCCACTCTGTTTCCCGTATAGCACATCTTGCTAATTAGAACAGGGAGGAAGAGAAAAGGTAAATAATGCTTTCCTTGGAAAGTGGCCATGAGGCACGACAGCTTTGAAACTTAAACTTGTTGTTGCCAACATTTTATAGCCTATTAGATGTCACTGTCTGATGGATCTGACCTGAGGGGCATGAACTTTTTGCCTTCACTGGAGGCTGAGGAATGAAAAACCCTCTGAACCTTTTGCCAACCTGTGCTGCCCCCTGAAGGCAAGCATACGATGCTTACATTTACTCCAGCACTGGAAGAGACCGCACCTTGCCTTATTCCTCCACGTGCATTTCAGAGGACCAGCAGGATAAAAACACTAATCTAATTATTACCCCATTAATTTAAGCAACAAGAAAGTTCCACCCAAACTACAACAAAGTGAATTGTATTAAAAAGAAAATCCTGCAAACTTACATAAATGAAGCTCGTCAAAAGACTTGCTTTAGAAACAGAGTTTGCTCAAAGCATTCAAAAACTATACTTATTTGAGTAAGAAGAACATAGGAATGTTTAAAGAATCTGACTCAAACCCTTTAACAGCATACAGATTTAATTTATAAAACATTTCAGTTACACCACGATCTTTGGCTTAAGTCCTACATTTTTGTCATGCAGAACTTCATACGAAGGGAGTCTCACAACAAAATTAATCTCCAATACAAATCGCAAAGTTTTGCAGTTGCATATTGAAAACTTTTGATCACGGTCAAGGGCCAGCAATCTGTCTTGAAATGTAAGAGGAGGAAGCTGAATAAAGCTGGCTTCTGGACTTGGCACTGCATCCTCAGACCACAGACCTCCTGGTTTGCTAGTTGCTCTGAATGAACTCCAGATGTGTGGCTGTGGCAATCTCTCTGATCTAAACTCCACACAGCACCAAATATCTCTGCTGTCAAGAAATACCCACCTGCAATTTGTGTATTCCAGGCAGCTGACCTGCAGGTGGTTGGGTGGTATCACAGCTGGAGAGAGGCACAAAAAGCTCAGTATTGCTCAAATACAAATCAGCTTTCCTTCATCAAAGAATGAAACATTTATTTACAAATTGAATTGAGAAGATGAATAGAGGTTTTTAAAAACTGTTAAATGCAATACTGTAAACATGAAATGAAGCACCAGTCATTGTTCAGTAAATGTAACACATCACAAAAAGCCAAATGTTTCAGTAATATTATAAAAAGAAATATCTATGGTACATAGTCCTTCTGGGGAAGAGTTAGCAATCTTCTGACTACTCTCAAGGAGTCACCTTTTAGCAGACACATGGTATTTGCAGTTGAACAGCAAAAGACCAGAAGCTATACACAAAGCATTGTAAATTTTGACCTTACCACATTTCCCAAACTAAGCAGGATCAGGAAAGGAATCCTTGAAGTCCACCAGTAATCAGCATAGACCCAGTAACAAAAGTATGCGGGGCAGGTAGCAAGCAAACCCTGAGTAGTTACCAAGCAAATCCAGCTGCAATTACACAGCACTATGGTGGTGGTGGTAATTTTTAACCCAGATGTAGATCCTCATCACTGGGGGCCAGTTAACTCCATGGTACTTTGACAAGTGTGGACAGTTGCCCCAGTGGCTGGTCAGCATTTCAGTAATTAAAACCTTCTTTGCTAATTATCTGATGAAATTCTAACAAAACACAGTCCTCCTCTCCTACCCAACTGCAAGTTAGCACAGTGGTTTTAGCCCTTGCTGTCTTTTCAGCACACTGAGCCACTGCACACCTAAGGAGGATTGAGGAGAAGAAAAATAATCAGCACTTAAATGAAAGAATGTTGTCGACATCAGTGATAACAACATTACTGAAATGTTCAGTCAATAGCAATCTTGGATGTTGTTATGTTTTCAGTAGGAAGAGGAATCCAAACTCTGTATTATAACAGCACTAAGTCAATTTGTGTCTCTCAGCTTTCCAATTTAAAGCTAATGAAATTCTTGATGCACAACTGGAAATAGACAAATGAGTTCCATTACCAGAAATCTCCTCTAAAAAAAACCCTCCCAAAATGTCATCATACAATTAAAATTTTAAGTGATAAAACTTCAAAAAATAACATAATTTGGCTATTTTTATGACTATTTTACTTACAAAATGAATTAAACTTACTCTGGAAAGTAGGTATAATAAAATAAAAGGGATATCAAACTTTCAATACTACATTGCTGTCACAAGAGTATTTAAACAAACACACAGTCACTACTTTTAACAGCTTTATTGGTAATAACTGTTGAACAAAATTTGTCTCTGGAATATCATAACAGGAAGAATTACTTTGCAATTATATTTTGTTTACAGTATTTTAGCAAAGGGGGTACATATTACTATTTTCTTGGAAAATAAACATTCTCAAAATCTGAAATTGATACTGATTTTAAAAAGCAGCACAGTAATATTCCTTGTCTCCCAGCAAGAGCCAGATATACAAGTCTCTCATTTTTTCTCCATGTGAACCACAGAGTGACAGCACTATAAGGTTAAAGGTCATGTTTGCATTTCTACATTGCCTAACTGCAACTCTTTACAAAATACCTTCAGAATAACAGCAGTAAAACCAGGAGGATAAAGAAGTATCTCAAAAGCTCATTGGCTTAATCCTTTCAACCACAGTAACAGATGTCTGACACTGTTAGGGGAATTTCTCTCCCAGTAGAAATGTATGAGTCATAGAATCAAAACCCATTCCAAGCACAGCTGTCACGTTTTCTGTTCCTTAAAGAAGTCTGTTCCTTTCAACTCTTCTGGTAGATAGTCCTGCTCTACAGGTTCCTTGTACATGGGGTTATATTTGTAGCCTTTGCCATAGCCCAGGTTCTTCATGAGCCTTGTTGGGGCATTTCTCAGGTGCAGTGGAACTGGTGGCAAAGGTCCCGTGTGCATCCTCAGACATTCTTTGACGTTGCCATATGCCCTGTACACCTCTATAGACTTTGGTGCTCTGGCAAAGTACACTACACACTGTGCTAGAATCACCTGGAAACAAGAAAAGGGAAAATGTTAAATCACTTCTTTTGGGCTCTTTGGGAAAAGGTCTGTTATTCAGGTTGTTTGTATAGCATGGCAGGGGTTATGTTTTTAAACTGACCTCTACATCCTACCATAATATGAATACTATTATTTAACAACAACACAGTTTCCTGATTTTCACTACTAGAAAATAATAGCTACTTTGGAATATATTATTTTATTTATAAGAGAGAGAAAAAAATGGACAGAGCAAAATGATATAAGTTCACATATCATATTTTGACAATAAATACACAGTAACATAAAGTGAATTTTATTTTAAACTACAACACATATTTTAAGAGCTACAATGTTCTCCTGTCAAAGAAGGGGCATGCTGAATGAACAAGTAACTAAGTTTGCTTTGTCCTTGCAATCAGTTACATTTTATAGTTACAGACAGGTTTTACAGTTTGCAGTACTTTCAAATCAGTGAATTAATGAAGCCTTTACCTCACATTCTGGCATTCCAATAAAGTGACAGCCTTGATAAGCAGCAACTGCTTGTGTTAAAGCCAGAGGATCTGCCAGTCCTACAAAAAGGGATCAGATAAAAGCAGGCTAAAGTTTATGTCTCTTTTTTTTTTTTCCAATTTTAATTTTTCCTCTCCTGTGAGATATCCATGCAAATTTCAAAGTTGCTTTCTCAGATGCTGGAATTTCTGGTACAATATCATAGCAGACATAAAATATACTCCCTCCACCCATAAGCCTTCTCCCTTCTGTCCCCCCTCCCCAAAAAAGAAAGGTCTAAGTCATGGGTACAATTTACGGATTGAATCTGCTGCCACACAGTGGTGGCCTGAGCAGTAGCTGACCAGATATGAATCTCTCACCTTTCAGAATTGATAAAGAAATGGGACAGTACTGCTATATAGACATAGTTTCCCCAGATCTCCTAACTCTTCACCCATCACACATGTTGTAAAAGTGTTGCTGCACCTTCTACTTTGGATAAGTCAAGCAAGATGCCTTACAACTAGGGAGCCAGCTATCAAATCTGAGGTTTTTAAGTCAGGGTAGGCATTCACCTGCCAGACTCATTAAAAGATCAGACATCCCTGAAATACACTCTCTGTGGCACAAGGTTACTGGAGATTTACAACCACCAGAGTTTAAAAGAATCTATATTAATACACTGCCAAACCTGACCTCAAAAACATGTTTCTACTGCAGCAGGTAATCTTCACAATGACACTGCATGTAGGTCTCTGCCTGCATATACAAAGCTTTTTGTTGAATGTGGGGCATTTCAATATTTTGTACCTATTTTGCATATAGCAGTTTTGTTTTTGTTTTTTTTTCTCAAAACCCAATTTTCAGAAACCAGACGCTTGGCAGATCTTCATTCAACACAGAATTCCAACATGAAATATTGCAAATACTGACCTATATCTTCACTTGCAAACCTCACCAGCCTCCTTGCCACATAAAGCGGATCCTCACCACCTTCAAGCATTCGAGCAAGCCAGTAAAGGGAAGCATTTTCATCTGAGCCTCTCATAGACTTGTGCAGGGCAGAGATGCAATTGTAATGTTCTTCTCCTATTTACAGTGGGGGAGAAGTGTACAAAGCTGTTAGGAGGAAATTACATGAAATGCATTCAAGAGAACAGAATATATTTTACTAGATCAGTAAACCTAAGCTTTTCAAGTTCTAAACTTTTTCAAGTTCTTTTTACGTATACGTGGTTAGCCTTCATTAATGTTTTCAATGCCTTCATGGTTTGCCACATGAATCATTCCACTAACTACATAAGCAAAACAGAGCAACTGTAAACTGAAAAGAAGGTGTTTTTTTAAAACACTGCAAGGCAAACAATTTGTTTTTTGTACCCTCATGACCTTTCCTTCAAAAAAAAAAACCAACCCAGATATTTTAATCAGTTAGGAAGAAGACTCTATTTAAATAGCTCCTAATTGCCAAAAGAGTAAAATATAAGCACATATAAATGATAAAACTTGAAAATAAAATGTGCAGTAAATCAAACATGAGTTTGATGTATTATATGGGAGGGGTAGGGGGAAATGAAATGTTGCTGTGGATATACAGTGATGGAACATTACACAATTTCGAGAGAAAAGAATTGCAGCACACAACCCTGGCAAATGCCTAAGAAATCCTGAGTTCAGTTGTGGAAACCTGCACTGCTGGAAGGGTCCTGAAAACTGAAAGCAGATGAAAGAAAAAAACTACACAAACAATACTTGAAATGCAAGACTGCTAAATAAGAAGTGAGAAGACTGAATGAATTACAGGGATTTTTTTTTTTAATATTAAAGTGTAGTATTTGATTAGATATGGACTCCAAGAAGAAACAAATCTATTACACAGATCTTTTAAGGATACACTTAAAAATAGAGGTTCAATATTACAAACACTGAAAAAGAGCCTTCCTGCTTACAATTTTTCTCTGTGCGGCTGGTTTTGATTCTTACACATTTATTTTAATCAAACTTGCAAGAGCATTTTGGCACAGTATTGTTGTTAAACTTTCCATGTAATCTGCCCTTCTTACTTTTTAAAGTGCCTGGCATTCCTTGGCTCACAGCTAAGCATGTATTATAAAGGCAACTGGCTGCATGCACAGCCATCTGTTAATATTTCTCCTTTTCCTCAGGCTAAAAGGATTTACAGCCTGAGGGCCATATCAGAACACACCACCATCACTTGTAGGCCCTGCAAAATAAAAGGCTGCATGGATGAGTTTGAAAACCGAAATCCCCACAATGCTGCAGTTGCTCCTTTCACAGCCAGCAAGACCTCCACCTCCCAGGTCAGAAACTGGGTCCACCTTCCTCCATCTCTGCTCATGCTGGAGTGCAGTTCTGCGGAGAATTCAACACACGCGATGCTGGCAAACACAGGCCGACAGACAGCTATTTTTGCTAGGACTCCACACAAAGAGCCCTGTGGTATGCAGCCATTACTCCTGCCAACACAAACAGCATGTCCATGCTCCATCATGACACTTGAGTTAGTAGCAATAAACCTAAGCAGCTGAACTCGCATCGTCCTCTTGGAAGAGGCGTCTCTTAGTCTCTTAAAAGTAAGAAAGATGGTTTTTAAATATCTCCAGAGGTTGCACTCGCCCAGATTCTTCTGCTGGACTGCTTTTTTATATGCTGTTTGGGCTACTGTAAAGTGTCATATTTGGAGACATCAGCTGGAGAGGCAGAAGGAATGCAGTGGATAGGTTGGGACTAGATATATATACCTGCAGGGGGTTTCAGATTCTGCAGGCTGAGAAAGGGAACAGTTTTCTTCTCCCTTTATTTCCTTCCTCACAAAGTTAATTTTGGTGACTGAGCCATTAACATAATGACAATACTTATACACAAAGACTTGAGACTTCTTCAGAAAAACTGCATTAAATGCAGTTTCAATTAAAGACAAAATACAGTGGCACATTGGACAGAAGTGTTATATTTCCATTTTAAAAAATATATTTTATAGATATCTCATTTGAGATACCAGAAGCAGCTTAAAAAAAATTAGAACTTTTATTAGACCTTTATTTATTAGCTCTGTCCCTCACTCTGGTTAGCCAACATATAGATTTTGGCCTTATCAATTCAGCTGAGAGACAGACACATACCAGCTTATCTATCACTGCTGTTCTGCATCCCAGATACCTCTCAAAATCAAAACTATAAAGAGTTTTTGGAATCAAAGTGCATTTGCTCTATGCAGTTCCCACAAAGGCAAATACCTTTCTGAAACAAGATACTACACAAGAGGCTTTGTGAAGGGGAGGATTTTCTAGTGTCTAACATATACAGATGCACAAATCTTGTTGATATATGCCCATAAACTGCTTTATGTGCTCATGAAGAGTTTTCAGGCTAATTTAAGACGCCAATTTATCTAGAGACTTATTGGTAGACAACTGGGAAAAGGTGTCACTCACTGTCCATAATTAATATTTGGAGTTCTTAAGCCATTCCTTATTAGTAAGGTAGTGGGTAAAAGTAAAATCACAGTCCCCACCTCACAGTTTTCTATCTTAGCTGCTCATTAATAAAGGGTAGAAGAAAGTCTTGAAAGTAGGACTAGAGCAACAGCACAGATAAAAAGACTTCTCGTTCTGGTCCAGCAGAACAAAATTAAGCTGGAAAAAAAGATGGTTGTTGGCAGTGAACTTTGATTAAAGTTGTTTCTTTGTCCTTCCAGCTAAACATGTCTGCACACATATCAGAACAACATCCTAACAACCAGATTATGAATATTTTCTTCCCTAGATTACTTGACAAAAGTACAGAAGAGAATGCCCAACTACATGTATTTGGCAAATTTTGCAGAAGGTAACAAAAAAAAAATAAACATGTAAAATCAAAATTCCATATTTACTCAACTTTGAACACTAATCAATTATATGGTGCTCTCTACACGAACACACTACATGAACATGTATGCTGCTGCTATCATGATTAGACAGCATCATGTCCTTCCACTTTATAAGGCTGAAGCATTTTATTTTAGAGCATTGTAGATTCCAGCACCACAACTGTGACTCAAAATTTATTAGCTAAAACATGCTACAATTAAAAAAACCTTTATATAGTAGCATCACTTCAGAAGCCCTTTGTACACAAAAGGACAAACAACTTACTCTGCTATGGACAGAAGTGGTCAACCAAGACACGGTCTACTCCACAGAAGACAGAAATTCTGTAAAGACAAGTACTCGGGCAACCTGCTGCTATGACAACATCTGTGGCAGGCTCTTTGACATGTGTACAACCAAGAAAAACTAAATTTTCATTGCTTTCACCACTCTCTGAAAATCTCTGACCAAAAAACCCCACAATAATCCACAACAAGGGTTTCTGTAACAGAGAAGGGCCTGACACATGCCACCTAGATTGGATGCAAGCCTCAGGAAGAGGCACTGTGTGCCATCTCTAAGAGAGCAAGAAGGCATAGGAGGGCTGGGAGCAACGGACACAGTCAAGAGTTCTTCATGACAGTGGCCACAAGGAGACAGCAAACACACAAGGGACCTACATGGCACAAGAGACTCACACTGGCAAACCGGTCAGATTTTCCGCTTCCTTCCAGTCATGATCTCTTCCTGCCACAGACTTCATAAAATTTTTCTTCTCCCTCCCCCTGCCTAGCCTGAACTTCTCAGTTGCCATTCTATAGTATCTGCTCAGCTGCCTTGCTCCTGACAGTGAGTCATCATTATTTCCTTGGAAGGCTGCAAGCAGGCATATGTTACAACCAACCTCAAGAAACCTCTTATCACAGGTTTTTGAACAGCGGTAGCTAATTAAGCATTTCAGATACAGTGGTAAAAAAAAAAAAAAATCAATCAGTTCTTTAAATACTGCTTGGCATAATCATTTGATACTACCCTGGATGGTCATTCAAGTAATTAGATTTATATGACCTGCCCTAAGCAAGCTACAAAATTCATTACCTTAAAAAGCAACTCTAAAAATAAAGCTAACTGCTCAGGTTTTGATGTAACATATTGCTGCGAATGTGAGCACTTTCAAGACTTTCAAAGGAGTAGAAGTGCAATGGAAGATACCTAACCCTCCAAGAAAAATGTTCTCATCAAATTCTTCGCCTTCTTTACATTGCAATTCTCGTAGAAGACAATATTCTAATAACCTTAAATAACAAATAATTCCACCATGCAACTGTTTTCAGGGCAGCAAATGTGTTTTTCAGCTAATCTACACTTCCTAAATGCTGAGAGGAAACCCTGTTTAGAAGGAATTTCTGGCTGAACTGCATTGTACAGGAAAACTACTTTCTAGGGCAAACCACTGTTTCACTAGAGCATCTGGTATGAAAAAGGGAGAAGAAAAAGAAATTACAGAGACTATCACCTCTTAAGAACACTGCATTTCAGCAACTGTATCAGGTACTCACCTGCTCGGTCATACAGGATGTGGGATCGCTGGAGCCCTTCCTTTACGTGCTCTTCTGTTATCAGAATGCCATCTGCAGAACCATCTTTGGTAATATTCAAAGAAGTGGTCTTCCCTGCTGCTAATCTGGCCTGAACTGCTAACTGGAGTCCATTCAGTCCAGTCCTTGCATCACCGTCGCAAAGGTAGGCAAGTGTGTTTAGAGCTTTGGCCTCTATGAACACCGGGAATCTGCAATAGAATAACCACACAACATGAGCCCCCATCATGCTTATTATGCCAGGGATGATGTTTCTTTACAAAGTTTGTTGAGATGCAGCTGGGCTTAAGATTCATTCTTAACTCATCCTGCCACGATTAAGTACTGCAGAGCCAAGGAGAACACTGTGGGACCCAACCCTCTTCCTCCTGATCCAATGCCTGTTAAATAAAATTGCACATGAAAAATCTAGGGATGAACTCTCATCTATTTGACCCCCTTATTTTTCCTACCTCATTAAACTCAATGGAAACTAGGGTTAGGTTTTTGCCAGAGTACAATTCTCACACAGCCAGTTGAACTTTACACAAGGTTTTACTCCATCACCATTTCAAATTCCTTGTTGGAAGAACAATGAAAAGGTAGAAAGCTATCCAAATGCAGCTGAGAGAATATAGTGAGTTATAAAGTAATTAGCATACGGTTTTGAACTAACTATCAATAGCAAGAGCTGCTGTTTTCTTTAAAAAGCAGCAACTGGAAGGATTGTTTACATTGTAAAGTATATGCATCCTGCTTTTCTTTTTTTGGTATGGTATTACAGCTTTAGTCAGTGGGGTACAAAAAAAAAATCTTCCTATAAAGAAATGGCATCCCAATACATGCATGTCACTTTTCTTGCCATCTACTACTCTAAGTGTGCCAGGACTATACAAATACATGAAAAAGGCCAAATTTCAGCAAACTCACAATATGAATGAACAACATGGGAAGAGCTAAGAAATGGAGCTGCAGGTGAAGAATCTCCTGAGATCTCATAGTGGGTCTATGAAAACTCTGGGAGAACAACAAAGTCCTCAAGCTTTGTCTCCAGGTTTTCATCTAGCGAGCTGCAGTCCCCACTGTTGGGGTACATACAAACCAGCTCACCCCTGCACATGTCACAGACATACTGTTGAGGATTTAACCCTCAAACTTTAGTTAGGTAGACAAGGTAACACCTACGATGTTTGCCAGGCAGAGGATACAACTGATTTGATTGGAAACAGTAGCTAATGGAGTTAAAACATGGCATTAAGTAATGGCCTAACTGAGCCATTTCCAGTAACTGGACTGTAAATCAAGAGTGACATGTATCAGCAGGGATTAGCACACAGAGCTTGGTGTGAGAGGCACTTTCTTATGAAGCTCTTGTATGTCAAATAATTAGGGATTCACAACAGCCCTGCACTTCATTCACCAAAAAGATATATTACTGTTATTACCAGTGGTGTACAAAAAGACAATCCCAAGTGTCCCAGGAACATGTACCCACTGATCTGATCTTCATTACTTGACTCTTCCTCCTTGCAAACCCACTTTGCACTTGTCACACAAAAGAAAAGGACTGTAAGTCCTGGAAAAATTTCTACAGTTAATATTTGAGTCCTCTCAGGGCAACACATAAGAGCAAAAAGCTAGTAGAGCTGCAATCTTAATCCACACCACTGCAAGTGAAGGCTAACAAATGTCTTCTAGGGGCAAAACCCATGCTGCAGAGAGTAGGCAGCAGGAATCACACCCTGTGGGAAAAATAAATCTATATACACATCTCATCATACCTTTTTTCCATCTTCTCATTTCTTCTCTATTTGATAAAGCTAGGAAAAAAATTTAACACACATACAGTGGCACTTTCGCCAGGTGCTTCAAACACCATCTTTGTGTTTGAATGAGGAAACAGAAGAATACAACAGCACAGTCAATTATCTCAGGCATCAAATTCCTTGAAATCAAGGAGCAACGTTCATGCCTCAGCAGTACAGACAGGCATCAGATTTTTCATATGCATTGAAAAAAGCCAGCAAGGGAAGCAAAATCAATTTTTAAAAAAACAGCAGGCGCTACACACAGACATCCTGATGCTATTACCTTCATCAACAGGGAACAAAACCAAATATACAGTACACTGAATAAACACTTCGGATACACCAGCAGGGCATACTGAACAGAAGGTTTCACCTGAAAGGACTAAGTTCTTTGCCCTCTGTTTGCAGAGAAGAACACCATGCACTTGAGGCCTCCTCAAACTGACACCCACCACCAACACACACAGCGACTGCCAAGTGGAAGGAAAGTGCTGAAAGTATTAAAAAGCAGGTACTACACTTGGAAGAAGCTGCATACAGTCTGTACCAAACCAAGTTGAGGCCTCAGGGCACTTTTGCCATTTATCTGCTAACTAGAAGTTTGGCAAAAAAAGCTGAGTTGTATTCCTGTCTCCTCAATTTCACTCTAGGACTCTAAGTGCCCTGCTTGCTCAACACAAGCAATTTATATCACAGAAACTGAAACAAATATTCACAAGAAAGTATGGAAAATCTGGTTACAAGCAAAGATCTTGTCCACTTCCATGGCGAAATTCACCTCTCACCTCAGCAACTCATTTCCTGCAAGGAAATTGGATAGATGTTCCAAATAAGGAGTAATTTTCAAAGGGGTATTGAACACTGAAGACCCAAAGGAATTCCATCTTCAGTGTTGTGATTTACAAGCCAGTGAATTTAAAACGTGTCAGAACTTGTGATACAGTCAGTAACTAGATGAACTGCATGATGTCTGAGCTTGCCAACAGGAAACCGGGAATCCTTTCATTTCCCTCAGCTGAGTGCCTTCTGTGCTATCTAACTTCAAAGACATTAATCCACTATCCAGTTTACTGCCTGACTTCAATTAGAGCTACCACTCTGAGGGCAGCACTGGAATGATAAAAATAAAAAGCCAAGAAAAGAATTTGATTTCCTCCATCACTGACACAGTAGTAGTGTCAGTGTACACTATTACTGTACACCTGGCACACTTTGTGCTACTACTGAGGCAGCATAAACTTCAGAAAGCACAAGCAAAGGTGCAGCAATATGAAGCATCTTCAATATTGACTTCTTACTCTTCTACATCCTGAATATGTTTTGTCCTTTCCTGCTACCCCATCTTTCAGTTTGATTTACTGCAGACTTCATAGGCACAGTTTGATGGCAGTAATGCTGGTGAAAATGTAACACAAAGCACATCTTATCCTAAAGAAATACAGTAACTAACATAAAAACTGTCAAAGAAGCTTTATGAGCCATGATGACACAACAAAGATGCCAAAGTAGGTAATACCTCCTGCTAGTTCTGTTTCAGCTTTAGAGCAAGAAAAGGCAACAGTGGAATGAAAGAGAAGCCAGGTGACCTAACCCTATCAGAAGCCTGCAACAATGGTGGAAGAAAGATAAGAAAAATCCACCAAGAAAATTTAAGAGAACAGATTTGGGTAGAGCACATTTTCCTTGTGGAGTGCCAATGATGAAACCATTGAATCACAAAGTGATGGCTGCATTCTTTTTGAGCACAGAAGATGCCTGTGGAGACTAAGGAAGATTCACCCCTCATCTTATTCTTCAAGGTAGTAGGAGAGACCACAAAGAATCATGCTCTTCTTCAGAATCTCATTTAGGTAAGTCGTCATGTCAGACAAGTGATGTGATACCAAAACCATCTGAAAAACTGAGGCCAAGCAGCACATTCAGTACTTCATACTGTGGCTTGGAAAAAGGGACTCACATGGGAAATTAAGTCCAAAATTCAATGTACACATATCTTGTGCCTTCTGGCTAGATCTCTGCAACATTTTCAAAGTGGTCATACCCCACCATCTGGGGACACACTGCCTTACAGTTCCTTTTCTAACTCTGGAACAAATGTGAGCACAGTTAACGACCAAATCAATTGTAACTAGTGACTTTAATTTATTCCTCAAGACATCATGAACAGTTACCTTCCTGCATCTAATGACAGTCCTGCGTCATGGAAGCAGGGTGGTCAAAAGGTATGAGACAGCTGCTCCTGCGGAGTAGTAGGTGGAAAAGAAATGAAAGAGCAGAAATGGTATGAACAGTGAAGCAAAGCAAGAAGATGGAATTCATGAGGCGGCCAAAACCAGAACCACAGTAAGGGACAGGATGGATTATAAAAAACCTAAGTCATCAGCAACTCTATGTAGCCTCTGTGGACCAGAACCAGACAGTGTCAGAAAAGACAAGACCTGACACACAACTGCAACAGACTCTCCTCAATTCAAACCCCTATTTTTATTTTCAAAAGCTTGACTCCCACATTAACCATTGGAGTGTGGCCCTTTCTCTTCATGGAGAGATTACTGAAACTGTGTTAGTCTGACAGTCTGCCTGCCAGACTTCTTTCAGTTTGATGAAGCACTACACTATGCTGTTTAAATCACCCATAGCTATTGGAAGGTTACAGATACAGAGTCTAGCGAAACCCAAACCCAAACAACTGCAGCTGAAACTATGCCTTGTACTTTAATCCTGTGCAGCAAAGAAAGTCTCTGAACCCCAGTCAGGGTGTAGCCACAACCACAGCTGTGCCATTACATTAAGGCTGACATGCAGTACTCCCTTCTCTTCTAAAATTCACATTACTACAACATGTAAAAGCAACAAATGAGTAAACTATGAGGCAGGGTAATCTAAAATCAAAAAAGAAATACCTTTCCTTACAGCCCTGACCTCAGCATTCAGATTGGTGATTCTTAGTGCTTACATTCTGTGATAAAGTTCAAGCGGATTCCCTCTCATTTATTTCATACAGACTGCCTGCCAATCACCACCTTGTCAATGCACTGTAAATTACTAGTAGTGTAGCCAAGAACCAACATGAAGGAAGTGTAAGAGCCTGCATGTGAATACCACAGTACCAAGCATTACGCTTATTTGCCAGCCTTCCATTTCAGAAGGCAGATAACATCCCTTACGGACAAATCCGGACCTTGTCTTTTTCCAAAATTTTCTCAAGTATTTAATGTGACTCTATCTGGCCTGGACATTAAGGAGCAGAGAAAAACGAAGTCTCTTGACATCTCACAGCAACAGCCTCCTCTCCTCAAAGGATACCATAAAATGTAGCACAGCACAAATCCTGCAACTAAAGAATAGGAGCAGCAGCATCCTCCCTGATCATATTAAAAAAAAATTCTCAGAAAACAACAAACTTTTGTCAGGCACTTTCAAATTAATTAAGAGGGGATACTTGGTCCACTACTGAATGGTAACATGATGCTTTTACAACTGGTAACAAGAAGTAACACACACTAGGACATGACAAAGACCCAGTTACAGACTTCCACAGCAAATCCTCAGCAGCAGAATGGATTTAAATATCCTGTGAGGGTGAGTCAGGAGCTACAGATCCAAGCATAAGATTCTCTCCTAATCCAGACGGTAAGATTATGTTTTGGATGGAGAGAGCCAATGCTTTGAATTCTCTCCCTCCTGTCACCCCCGCCCCTGCCATATGCTGCCACTTCTTTTCTTTACTATCAGAAGTGGCTAGGGTTTCTCTTCCCACCCCCCAACTGCTTCATTCTCTCCCTGGCAGGCAGTCAACTCCTCAGGCCGTGTGCGTTAACACCCTGCAGCCCATAAAGTACTCACTCGGAGCTCTCACTGCCGCTGCCAGTTGCAGAGCTGTTGTGCTGGTCGCCCTGGCCCAAAACCTGGACCCCTAAGGACCTGACGGCCCGCATCAGAATTGCCTCCATTGCTTCCACTGAGAGCTTCTCCAGGACAATCACCCGGCACCGGCTCAGAAGAGCGGCGTTGACTTGGAAGGAAGGGTTTTCTGTGGTCGCTCCTATCAGGGTCACTGTCCCGCACTCGACGTGAGGAAGGAAAGTGTCCTGAGGATGGGAGGGAAGCAGAAAAAGCTGATCTCGATCAATGACAACCTGAAACATCCCAGGTGAGTAAGCTGTGGCTTTTTTGCATCTTGTGAGTCTTTGGGTTCCCTGACAAGGCAGTTCATCTGCGCAGATAAGTAAATGATTTAATTTCATGCACCTAACATGCTACAGGCTGTTCATCTTAATAACAAATGGTTGGAATGAGAATGACCTCACCCGATGAAAACAGGGTAAAAAAATCTGCAAATTTTTAGTTTATTTATAGGGATTTGATTTATTGCTTGGCAAATTTCATAAGAAATCATGAAATTGCCTTATCAAGTATTATGAATAGTGAGGCTACGCTATGAACCAACCTTTGGGGCTACAATTCCCTACATAATTCTAAAGGATGGCTCAAAAAACTACAGGAAGATTGCAGTACAGTTCAATATAAAAACTGTAACTTGTAGTGCAGTATTCAAACTTTTTATGTTACAACTAAAGAAACCGTATAATTAGAAAAGGAAAAAGAAAAAAAATACCCAAGTGATGGCTGCAGCGTTATCCCAAAGCACCATGCCATGCCTTACTTTTTCTCACAGAGTAGAGGGGACAACATTAAAATACATACCCTTGGCACATTCACATTCCAGACCTTTTTAAAGGTAATACAGAATGCTACCATGAGGTGGAGGCTGAAATGAAGATGTGTGCAGCAAATACTACTAACATGACTTGGCAGAAATAAAATTTCATAAAAATATCATATAAGGACTCGCATGTAAGTCAACTATAACTCAGCCTTTCATTTATATCTTTGAATCACAATAATTAAATGCTGGTTGGAAGTAAGTTAAGGAATTTAATTTTTATGTTTCTTCCTAATTCACCTACTAAAAACATTAACATTGAAATCAAAAGCCCAAAGGAAGGTATCATCTTAAAGCAAAGTAGGAAATTTTACAGAAGTGCTGACAAAAGCTTTTTTCAAAAAGCGGTGTAGTACAATACCTGCTGAGACTTATTGAAACGATGGATCTCGTCAATAAAGAGGATAGTTTTTCTCTTGAAGAGCCTTCTTTCATTCTGAGCTTGGCTGATGACATCTCGAACATCATTTGTCTTGGCACTTGTGGCTGACAGTGTCACAAACCTTGTGCCATTCTTTTTGCTGTTGTTGGCTATGATGTGTGCTAGCGTAGTCTGAAACAGTAATAGGAGAAAGCTTTGTAAAAATCATTTTGGACACAGAAAGTACCTATTTGAAGAAAATATGTAAAGAGCAAAGCTATATTTTTTGGACATGGGGACAGTGTTGACAGTTTATACAGTAAGCCATTTTAGTCCATGTTATTCTAGCACATTGAAGACTTCTAAACTTCCTGCTAGAGGTAGCTGCCAATTCCTCTGCTGCATTTCTAATGCCTGCACTTTTACGTACCAGACCCTGTGAGTCTCAATACTGAAAAGGCCAGCAATGACAGCTGTCTCCTTTATCATGGAAGAAGAACTCTTTGCCAAATACATATCTGTCACAGAAGACAGGCTGACTGCAATTCACTGTGCAGTTATTTTGTAAAGTATGTTAATAGCTAAAGAGCTGGACTATCCCAAGACACCTGCAGCAGAGTTTACAGTGCAACCACATTTCACAGATTCACAGAATATGCTGAGTTGGAAGGGACCCACAAGGATCACCAGGTCCAACCCTTAGCCCTGCACAGGACCAGCCCCAAGAGTCACACCATGTACCTGAGGGTATCATCCAAAAGCTTCTTGAACTCTGGCAGACTTGGTGCTGTGACCACTTCCCTAGGGAGCCTGTTCCAGTGCCCAACCACCCTCTGAGTGAAGAACCTTTCTCTATCTCTATTCTCATATCCAACCTAAACCTCCCCTGACACAACTTCAGGCCATTCCCTTGGGTCCTGTCACTGGTCACCACAGAGAAGAGATCAGTGCCTGCCCCTCTTCTTCCCCTCATGAGGAAGTTATGGGCTGCAATGAGGTCTCCCCTCAGTCTCCTCTTCTCCAAGCTGAACAGACCAAGTGACCTCAGCCACTCCTCATACGGCTTCCCCTCAAGGCCCTTCACCATCTTTGTTGCTCTCCTTTGGATACTCTCTAATAGCTTAATGTCTTTCTTATATTGTGTACACCAAAAGTGCACACAAAAACATAACCTACAATGTTGTTAATTAAACCCTTTTCTATTTCCAATACATATGAAAATGAAATTAATCAGACAGCAGTTTCTACAAAATCATGGGAATGTTAGTACTGAAAAATTATATTTGTGCTTAAGAAAATTTAACTCTTAAACCTAAATAGTCAACAGTAATCAAATGCTGGCCCAGGGAAGTAAAAGACAGCTGACTGAACAAGCTGTTGGCTGTTTTTAGTGAGCAGCTATGTTGTTTTTCTTTCCTTATGAACAACCTCTTCAAACCAGAATTTATTTATACAGAATTTCACGAAGTCTAACAAAGCACAGAAGCAACCTCCAGCAACCTCCTAGGTAGATTTATTACACCTGAAAACATCACAGGAATGATTTTCAGACTTTCCTTCACAACCCTTAGTAAAGGTGGGTGTATCTGCATGTCCCAAGCAGAGTGTATCTCTATTTGAAAGTACTGCTAGAGAAAACAAGTGATTCTTCCATCAAGCACACTCTTCTATTAAAGAAGGAGCCTGAGGAGAACGAAGACAGGAGAGCCTCAAAAGATGAGGAGTGGGACAGGTGCTGGCAAAACCACCTCAGAAGATGTTCCAAGTGCTGAGGTTAAAGCAGCAGGTGCTGTCAACCTGATCCTCTTCCAGGGAGGCTACAGAAACAACCACCTATCACTTGGCTACCAGTGGTGTTGCAGCACTGCTCTGTCTCTTTAATGGATCTCCTTGTCTCAGAAATGGCAACCAGCCCAAGATGGAAAAGCAGGGGCTAAGGAGGAGGATGTATCACTATTTATTCTTGCTTTAGTTTTAGTAAGGGCTTCCTGATTGTTTTCAGAAGTGGTGTCATTTCAGGTCCTGATACAAGACTCGTATTCCATGTCAGATCTTCCCTCATTCCCTGGAGCTCAAGCAACCAGCTCCTCCCCAATTGTACACTACAAAAGACAAGACTTGAAAGACACTTAGAAAGTGTTTGCAGCAAAGCCTACAGAAATCAGGAAGATCTGGATAACAAACCAACCAACCAAATATCCTCCCCTCAAAACAAAAGGAAACTGTCTTTGAAATTAAGCTACCAAGTGAAAACCAAAGTTTGTGTTTCCTTACAAAAGGGCCTTGATTCAGAATGTACCTTCAGAGGATATACCCATGCCTTAAAAATCTCTGAAAGCATGGAAAACCCCCAATATATCAAAGCTGAGGATGAAAAAGGAAAAATGTACCTCTTCCTTCTCTAAAAGTGGCAGTGGTGAGAGGAGAAAGAAAAATGAAAAATAAGTCAAATGGCTATTCTTCCTGTAGCTCTACTTGGACTGGTAGCTCACAATGTACCCTGGCTGTCATTCAGAGAGTTTTGTTGTTTACAACAAAAGCTGTGAGGAATTTGTTTTACACACCTGCAGGAGTCCATACTTCTAACACTAATTTAGGAAAATGAAATACAAAGAGATTTGTTTGAAAGTTACTGTTAGACCAAGAATCTACTTGAAAACTGTTGCACAACTCTCAGTCAGCACGTACCCCTCCTGCTCTGCCAAGTTTGGGGTCACTAAAGGTTGTAATAGGAATAACATACATTGCCTTTCAAAAGCAGTGTTAGACATGGACAGGCATGTTCGCAGTCTCTTTCTTCTGTTTTGCACAATTAATCATGTAGCAAGTCTAACTGCCTATCACATACAGATCAAACTTTCCCTGCCTCTGAAAGACTATTATTTCCCATGAGCTCAGGTTTTTTATGCTGCTGCTTCTCTCACCATCTCAAGCAAAAGTCAGTAACATTCCACACTGTTTTCTCCCTGTGTTACTTCAGGTTACAACCTAAGAGAACACATAACCTAGTGGAGACTTAAGTAGGGTTGTTTAAGCATGAAGGCACTAGCACAGAACAACTATAACTCATATGCTAGACCCGTAGTTTCCCCTCACTAAGTTCAGAGGCAATGCATTTAAGGGATAAGAAGAAAATCAGAAATCTGATACGAAATAAGGTAGAAGAAAACACACTGAATATCCTTCACTATTTAAAATAATTCTGAAGTTTGACTGTTACATTAGAAAACAAGTCTTTAAAATAGTAACACTGATGTTGCAATTTAATATGAATTAATAATACATCTGTATTAGAACTGCATAACAAGCAGGAAGAGGAAATCTAAACAAGTTGATAACCCGCTCCTTTTATTATACAGGTTTTTCTTAATTAGCTTGTGTTCTTTTCTTATGGGGAGGAGCAGAAATATTGTTTCCCACAAATTAAGAAGAGGAGTGATTCTACAAACTAACCTGTTACTAACTTCACTAAAAATTACACCTTACAAAGCTCACAGTCCTTGCCCCTTCCAGAAATCATTCTCGGTTCTATTATCACACCAAACTATCCAAGGTCACACCTATCATCTCAAGCTTTATGCTGAAAATTGTGAGACCTTACTGACTTAGCTGTTTAGACAAGCTAAAGCAGTGCCATTATAAGGAGCTGTTCTGAAACACAGAAACATATTCACCAAGAAACTCCTGAACCATTCATCATTCATGGCTAGGCTTCGTGAACGAAGATTTGGGAAAGGTTCTATCCACATTTGTTACAGGCACGCTGGGGGCTAATGAGGCCAATATGAGATAGACATGTCTGATTGCAAAAGGCACAGCAGAAAGACTCCTTAGGTGGTATATTCTGCAAGACACAATTCTTTTTGCGTTGTCTTTTCTCCTCGAGAGTGATCCTGCGTGTGTTCTCAAAGGAAGCAGCATTGTTATAGATGGTGTGTCTCCAGACCTCCCGACTGGAGGCCAGAGTAGACCGGTTATGATGATCAATATGGCCAAGGCTGAGATGTTGTTTCAGGGAGTCCTTGTATCTTTTCTTCGGGGTTCCTCTCTTGCAGCAGTCAGTGGCAAGTTCACCATAAAGCAAGATCTTAGGGAGGCGGCATCTCTCAGGAGTTGGCTTCATGATCAAAAACTCTAATTGTTCCTAAACTCAAAAATCTGCCGACAGGTCATTCTGACAGCATTATCTCCCTACACCTTCCACTACACAACAAGCAACATGTTGTCCTCCTGAATCATTACTCACCAATCAATAACACTTTGAACTTCAGCCTGTGGTCATTTATTTTCAGACCCACTACACACAGAACAAACACTTAACTGCTGAAGCCCTCCTTTACTGTCCTGTACATTGCCTTGTGTCAGCCCAAAAAGGAATATCCTCTCCTACGGGCTGCAACCATAAAAAACCCAGCAACCAAACACAAAAATAGCCAAACAAGCTCACTGTAAGCCAACTATGCTACCAGTTCTTCCAGGCTTTGATATAAGTTAGGGATGAAACAAAAGGAACCCATAAAGCATGCTTGACTCCACACACCTCTCACTGTCACAGCAGAAAAGTCAATCCAATTTGCTGTTTAGTTAGCTGGCTGTTTGTACTAGGAGACAAGAATTTTCTGTATACCCACAAGTTTCCGTGACTGGGCAACTCTCTTTTAATTTCTTCCCTACTCTCTGCACTGTGACTAGTCAATGCAGCTTCAAACCCCTGGATGGAAGAAAACAAGAAGCAAGTACTAATTAAGCCACTTGTATTGATGCTGATGCTCAGTGACTAACATTATGTTATTAGAATTAAGGTAGTCTTTTGATTTTTGCACTCCTTTACCAGGCCATTAAAATATGCCCATTGTGTTAGCTCACCAAAGCCCCTTACAGGAATGAAGAGTGATACTGCCTAGCTGTCTTCAAAAAGTGGAACTGAAAAAAATTGGGAAAAGATCAGAATATATGGTCAGATCATAGTCAAGAAGACTTGAGTCAAGAAGTTGACTGTGAAACCCAAGATCATTCCTAACTTTTGTGCAGATCAGGTAGATCTTGTTTAGGGATTTGCCTAAGGTTGTCTGTTCATGGAGACTTCCCTTAATCATTCTTACATTGCATAAATTTAGTGAAACAACCATTGTAGATGTCAGGCACAGAAAACACATGATCTATCAATTACATCTATTCTGTCATCAGCTTTCATGCCAGAGAGCTCCTGCAAGGCATGGAGAAATGCTCATAGTCCTTCTGTTCCAACTTCACAGCCCTTTTCATGAGGAGCTGACATTCACACTACACATTGCAGGAGCACACTGGTGCAAGAGCTCTCCTTCCAGCTGGATGCGTCCCTCCAACATAGACGTTTTGCTCTGCCAGGCCATGTTTCAGTGACCAAAGCAGATCTGGAACAGATTGGTACTAGTGTTTAGACTGCAGTGGGACATGGATTATTCCTGAGTAGGGATAATCTAGCCGGCACGTAAGTCTCTCCAACAAGTGACTTTGCTGGTTTGTTCCAGAGCAAA